GTGTGTGTGTGTGTATTGGGTTGTTGGGGGTAAGGTTATTTGTTAAAGATCAAAACTTTAAGAGGGGGTGGTGCTTAATTTGTTCTTAAAGCCTCAGTATATGCACTTAACTTGGTGTCGAATGAAATGCAAGTACAGAAAATAAAATAGATGAATGCAGTATTATGGCTATTTATTTATTACTTAATCAAACCAGTGGAAAAGCTCAAAAAGTAGACATAATTCAGAGACTTGAAGCTAATTGTTTGGTTAATTTGATTCAATTGTTTTTTTTTTCTTTTTTTTTTTTTTCTTTCTTGTTTAATTCAGTCTATGATTCAATTGCTTTATCATAACTTCCCTTCACATTGAAATGAATATCCAAAGAAACGAAAAATGTTATATAACACATTTGTTTCAAGGTTTGGTCTCTGGTAAGAAGATTCGACAAGCCACAAAAGTACAAGCCATTTGTGAGCCGATGCACGGTTCAGGGAGATCTCAACATCGGCGTTCGAGAAGTTAACGTGAAGTCGGGACTTCCGGCCACCACCAGCACTGAGCGCTTGGAGCTTCTAGACGACCACAGGCATATCATCCGGGTCAAATTTGTTGGTGGCGATCACAGACTAAATGTAAGATAAATCATACTATGGCTTATAAGTGTTGGAGTATCACTTGAGAATTGTCTCACATTGATTCTATAGGGAAATTAGGCCTAGCTTATATACCTAGTGGGCTATTTCTCCCATCACCAATTGATTTTTGGATTGAACCTCACTTTGGTGCACCTAAGCCGACCCTCTTACGGTGCACTTCATTTGGGACCATACCCTCTTGCCTCGATTCTCTAAATTTCACGATGACACATTTGAATGTAATTAAAGAAAAATTAATTTCTTTTTATATTAATTCGTTTTTTCTTTTTGTTTTTTATTCAGAGTTACTCATCGATAATCACGGTTCATCCAGAGACGATTGATGGGAGGTCGGGAACAGTTGTGATCGAGTCGTTCGTGGTGGACGTGCCCGAGGGGAATACACTAGAAGAGACTTGCTATTTCGTCAAGGCTTATATAAACTGCAACCTCAGGTCTCTGGCTGTAGTCTCCGATCGAATGGCGATGCAAGACGGCATAGCTTAGAGTTATTGAATTGTCGATTTTGCCCTTCTGAGCATAAAAGAGAGTTCATCCTGTCCTACCTCTGAGATGAACACTTTCGGTGCATTATATTTGAATGGGTTAGTGTGTAACTAAAGTATTTTTACCTATATTTATAATAAGGACATGTAAGAACTTCCTTTGAAATTTTGTTTCTGGTCGTGAACTTTATTATGTGAATCGTGATGTACATTTTGATAGTGATAACGTCATAGACAATAGATTGTTTTTCTTATTCTTTTCTATTATATATATATATGTGTGTGTGTGTGTGTGTGTGTGTGTGTGACAATTAACTTCTGTTTGACTAATTCATATGGACAAAATGCCTTTCACCCATTAATACGCGCTTGAGGCCCACGGTGGCTTCATGTTTCATTGGCCACCGCATGCTGTTACTGCCTTGTAATTGGTCCAATAGTTATCAAGTACTTAAATATCGTGTGATACACGGATACAATGAGAAAATAACATTAAAATTGATTTGTTTTAAAAAAAAATTAAACTTGATTTTTTAAATTGAATATTGTATGACCATAAGATAAAATTTATCGCAAATCATTTTGTTCACAAAAATCTACTAGAAATATCTATAAAATATAAAAATTAGTTGGTCAATAATGGTTACAGAAACCCTAGCTTCATCGTCCGATGTCGAGATGGCCCGCGATAATCCAATTGATCTCACGGCTGACCCGTCGGATCGGGGACGGCCTGGTCCACGTTTAACGAATCCCAATTTGGTGGAGGGTTCCCCCTCGCTCAAACGTTCTCGGCCGCTGGAATTACCGGGGGGAGGTGGTGGTATGGGGAGCCGACCGGTATCACCGAAATTTGCTGCACAGACGGAGAAAATGAGTTTTAAGGACATGCTCAATCGTCATCGTCCCCACGTAGTGCTCCAAGCTGAGG